ATCGAGTCTACCTTCTCGTCTCCATTCTGTGCCATCTACTTCCCCCTTTCCAACTACAAAACTCTGAGGCCACCATGCCCCCCTTTGCCTAGGTCCCAGCGATGGCTTCCGGACTGGCTCCAGGTTAGCACAGTGACTTTCCTCAAGTACCAGTTTGATGCCACCCCCTTGCTCCACACCTTTCAGTTGTGCCTGGTAGCTCTCAGGATTAAAATGAAATTCCCCAGTTTAGCACCTAAGACTCTTCAAGGCTTATCTCTTGCCCCCTTTCTTCAGCAGCAGCCTCTCCTCTTAGATTCAGGCTCTCCACACTTGAGCTCTGCCTCTACACTCCCCAGCTGGATCCTGGGCACCTGGTGCCAGGCCAGAAACTCTAGATGGCAGGTGTCCATTGGGACTGGCCAATGCCCCACGTAAAGTAAGGGGTGACACTTTGGTGTGTGCCTCAGTTTCCTGTGAGTCGGATCAATGTGAGTCAGCTGCTCCTATATGGATTCAGAGGGGAAAGGTCTGGATCCCATATCATTGTGGCCACCAGGATGACCGTGGCTGGGGAACCAGCTCTCCCACTACTATCACCTTCACCCAGGTACATACTTTAGACACGTACATTCCCTGCTCTTAGAAAGAATGCCGACGAGCAGGGCAGCTCCCATGTACTGAGCATTTACCGAGTGCCAGGCACTCTGCTAAGCAGTTTTTGCACCATATTTCATTATATCTTCCCATGAACCCTAGGCAGGCTGATTTATTATTATTATTATTATTATTATTATTATTATTATTAATTATTATTATTATTATTATTTCATAGATGTGGAAATGGGGACCAGAGAGATTGAAGAGCGTTCCCACTGTTGGCTAAATGTGCTAGACCTGGAATTTGAATTCATTGCTATTGGATTCCAAAATCATTAAAACGCATGGGAGTAATTTAAAGGCATGGATGTGAGTAGAAGACTTTCAAGTGAGGGGAAGTAAGAACGGAGAGAGTGAAATCTGGGAGAGAGATGGGGTGATGGATGGAGAAATCATTCCTCTGTCCAATCATGTTTGTTGCTCCCATAGTTGGAGGTGACTTGGCGAAGGTGTGTCAGCAGGAGGCGGATACACACTCAGGTGCCCCATCTTCCTCCGTAACCCGGCTCTTTGGAAGGCCATGTGGCAAGGGACAGAGGTGAGCAGGGTGTCAGGGAAGGACTTTTTACGTCCTGCTGGTCAGAGGCTCCACCCAGGGCCTCCAAGTGGGTCTCCAGGGGCAGATCCTTGAGAAGGCAGCGTTCATCATTTTTACATCGATGTTCAGATCCCTAATAAGGAAGTAATAATATTGCCAAGCTTTACCACATTCTCTAGGAGCTAGTGAGAAGACTAATTATCTGACGACACTAATAAATGGTTATGATGTTATTAAAATTGGCACCAAGCTAGGATTAATAGGCTCATCAATTATAAGGAATCGGGTTTAACAAGGTCCCCTGCATGTCCTGTCAGGGTCTGTGGCTTCAGTGGAGACTGGGCAGCATGGAGGGCTGTGAATGAGGCCTCCTTTCTCTAGCGGAGGGTCAGCTTAGGAAGGTCTGGCTGCTGCTGAGGTTTTCTGACTCACCTCCTTGCAAACAGCTCCTGGAAGCTCTTGGGCTACTGGAGATGCTGTAGGTGACACGAACGGCATCCACCCTGCTCACTTCAGCACGTGGCTTCCCTTCTCCCTGTGATCCCCACCCTCTTCCTCCCCAGTCCAGCTCGCCTCTGCCAATGTCAGGCTCAGAACCCGCCCGCAGCCCCACACTCCACAGCACACTCACAAGTGCAGGGGACCCAATAAATGGAGATGCCTCTGGGGCCTGCTGACTCATTTCCATAATAATTACAGTTATTACTAATAACGGTGACAACACCACTCCTCTCCATTTATGCTGAATTCCACAACCAAGGAGCTGCTTCCCCATCAGTTGTCCCTGCAGAGCCGCACAACCAGCTGGGAAGAGTGCAGGGCAGGTATTATGACTCTCACTGCAGAGTTAGGAGACAAGCTCGGGGCGATACGGGGACTTCCTGAAGCCCCCTCCCCAACTTCAAAGGAGTAACCGTAATGATAAGCATAAAAATAATAAGAGCAAGTACTGACACGGTACCGACAGTGGAATGTACATACATGGACTTACTTAGTCCTCACAACAGCCTTATGGGGGAGGCTCTGTTATTATCACTCCCATTTTACTGATGAGGAAACTGAGGCACAGAGAGGTTAAGAAACTTGCCCAGAGGCACACAGCTAGTAAGTGGCAGAGTAGGAACCAAGCCCAGCCCAGCTTCGTGCTCTTTCCCATTAGCCTTTCCAGCCAGTCTTCCCTGAAAGCCTGATTCCCTGGTGCCTAGGAAACGACTCCATCTGCCACACTTTGCTTGAGCCTTTTTGCTCTGAGCTCCAGCCTCCTCCACGCTGCAACCTCCAAGGTTCCTGTAAGGCAGCTCCCCTCCTACAGGGGCAGGAAGGCTAACAGAGGGCCCAGATACTGCCTGCTCCCCCTCCGAAAGGTGAAATGAGAACAATCCCTTTGGCTGGCGTTTTTCAAGTTGCAAAGACCTACAGCGTGAGCCTTCCTCGGTCCTGGCTCTTTGCAGAGGTCAGAGCACAGGCCTTCAGAAGCAGAGAGCCTCCACAGAGCGCTTACTTGCTGGGGCTTTTGCCTCTCTCTGCCTCAGCTTCCTGGTCTGTACAATGGGTGGTGGTAACAGTACCTACCGTATTTGCCGGCGTATAAGACGACTGGGCGTATAAGACGACCCCCTAACATTTCCACTCAAAATACAGAGTTTGTTATATACTCGCC